CAGTTTTCAGAGGGAATGCTTTCAATTTTTCTCCATTTAGAATGATAGTGACCTTGGGCTTAGCATATACAGCTTTTACAATATTGAGATATGTTTCTACTACCCTTAGTTTTTCTTGTGTTTTGAATGTGAGTGAATTGTTGTAGTTTGTCAAATGCTTTTTCTGCATCTATTGAGATAATCATGTGATTCTTGTCTTTAAGTCTATTGATGTGATTAATGTTTATTTATTTCCATATGTTGAACCAAACTTTCATCCCTGAGATGAACCTCCCCTTGATCATGGTGCACTATCTTTTAAGTATGTTTTTGTGGGCAATTTGCCAGTATCTTATTAAGAATTTTGGCATCTATGTTCATCAGGGATATTGGTTCTCAATTTTTTTTTCCTTGATGTGTCTTTGTCTGGTGTTGGTATCAGGGTAATACTAGATAGATATCTATGAACATGAAAGAACACTAGTGGAAGAATGAGGAACAAAAGCAAATACTGAAGTAGCAGACTTAAGTCCTATTTGATCAGGAATTACATTAAATATAAATGGACTAATCCTCATAATGAAAAGGCAGAATGAATTTTAAAAACCAAATGATAAACCCACCCATGATCCAACTGTAAGCTGTTTATAAGAGACATTTAAGATTCAAAGACACAATAGGTTGAAAGTAAACAGATGGAAGAAAATGCGCTATGAAAACAGTAACCAAAAAAAGAGCTTAGGGACTAAACTATTATCAGATACAGTAGACTTTATAAGACAAACACTGTTGCATTCCTGAAGAAAATGTAGGAGAGAGAAATCAGAGACAAAGTAGGACATTTAATGACAAAAAGGGCAAGCCATCAAGAAGATAAAATGACTATAAACATATACGCACCTAACAAAAGAGCCCTCAAAATATATGAAACAAAAGCAAATAGGATTGAATATCCAATTCAACCAGTGCTAATGATAAATGCTAATGGTCACAGGAGTTTCTTTTTGGGATGATAAAAATGATCTTGAATAATGATTGGTAATGATTACACAGATTTGTAAAATGTTAAAAACCAATGAATTTTATACTTAAAGAGGACTAGTTTTAGCCAAATGTGGTGGGGGCATACCTGTAAATTCAGCTACTCAGAAGGCCAGGGTAGTAGGATCACAAGTTTGAGGCCAACCTAGATAGTTTAGTGATCCCCTGTCTCAAAATAAAAAATGTGGTATAGCTTGGTGATAGAGCACTCTTGGGTTCAATATCCAATACCAAGAACAACAACCAAACAAATTGAAAGGGGTTGGTTTTAGAGTATGCAAAAAAAAAAAAAAAAGAAAGAAAAAAAAGTTCTATCCCTGTTCTTACTCCTTATCATAAACATTCAATTTTGGAGGACAAGGGGGCCCCCATTGCTCATTTTCATTCTGGTACTCACCATGCCTTGTATCAGCCTCTAAATGAACTGAAAAGGCACATCTTTCCCTTTAAATAAACTTTATAACATAAACTACAACATAAGGGGCTCACATGACATAACACAACATGGACAGCATTAAGGAATTTGTGAATCACTCTGGATCATCATTTTCCAAAGTATGTTCCATAAAACAGCAGCATCTATGAGATGAACAGACTATGAAAAAAAAAAAAAGTGGGTGGGAGGGTTCCTGTGGTCCTGTTTAGAAAACACCAGGTTAAATATAAAGTATTCATCTTTACTATAAGAACTTCTTGCCTTCAGTGTGCCAAGTATACATTATCGAGCTTCAAGTACATATCAATGGTGTGATGAGCACCATTTCCCAAATTTATTCAACCAAGGGACTCTCCTGTTCCTCAGAACATTTCTCAGGACTAGTAGAAAAAACTCAAGTCAACTAGATAACTATTGAGACATCTCAGAAAATCATAGGGAGTTGGGTGACGGATATAGTTCAATGGTAGAATGCTACAAGGAAGGAAGGAAACTCTAGGGAGGCTCCATCTGGAAAGTTAAAAATGGTTATATCTTTATTATATGATTAAAGTTAGATTATCTCTCTCTGCTCAAAAAGTTGACATAATCTAGAAGTGGATGAAATCGCATATGAAACTGAAGAGACGCAGAAACAGCACATAATCAAAGCCTTAAGAGCTAAAGCATTTGCACAGTTAGCATCTGTGTCTTCATCCTCTTTAAATTCCCAACACCCAGTATGACATCCATCAGACAGCTGCACTCAATAGTCTTATAAAAACAAATGAATGAAAAAACTAGGGCAAAGTCAAGCACCAATAATAAATAAAAAACTTCTGGAACTCTATATCAAGAGGTGATTTTAGCCTGAAAAGATAGAAATGCATTTTCCCAGTATCAGATGCCTTCCACTGTGGGTGATTGAGAGAACCCAGAAGAGGGCAGGCAGAAAGGCAGCCAAGGACATCCCACTCTCTCGTTCCTTGGATCTTCTAACGGAAGCAAGGATGGCTGGCTGGGCTCTGGGTCTGATCTAAGATGGTTCTTCTCATGTTCTTATCCTCAGGCTGGGATCATTACAGAGGCAAAGCTGAAGGACCTGACACCCTCCATGCCTGTGATGTTCATCAAGGCCATTCCTGCAGACAAGCAGGATTGCCGCAGTGTCTATTCTTGTCCAGTGTACAAGACTTGTCAGCGGGGACCCACTTACGTGTGGACTTTCAACTTGAAGACTAAGGAAAATCCTTCCAAGTGGGTTCTAGCTGGAGTAGCCTTACTACTCCAGATTTAGCTTTCTGAGAAAACAAGAAAAGAGGGTAGGCCAGAGGCTCCCTGTCAGACAGGTGGGTGAGGGGTTACCACAGACACTTAGATAAGAAATCATAAGCACACAACTTCTGTGGGATTCCCCTATGGGACATGAGAGAAGGGTGCCTAAAAGTGAAGCTGAGCTGGCTTTTGGACCCGGGAACTCTGGTAGGAGAATTTGTAGTACTAAACCTCTTCTAATAAAGTGATTTATTCTTCAACTGTGTATAGTCCAGACTTTTGAGAGTTTCTGAGTCATCAGGGATTAGGAAAAGTCCAAGAGAAACAAGCCACAAACACAAGCCCTATTACATGATGCTATCCTCAGTGCTCTAGCTTCCAAGGACCCCAAGCAGAATTAGCATCACCCATGAATCAGCATCTCCATCTTCTTCAGCTGTCTGGGTGATTTGCCTGCATATTATAGAAATACTACACTTGATTAGAGGGTCACCCAGATTTTTCTGTAAAGAGCCAGATAGCAAATATTTGAGGGTTTGTTTGCAGGTCATATTGTCTGTTTCAACTACTCTGCCATTGTAGCCCAAATGCAGCCTAGTAATATGTAAATGAACAGGTGAGACTGCATTCCCATGAACCTTACAGAAACAAGCAAAACGGGTCATTTTAATGATCCCTGCTGTAAAGGCTAAGGGAAGTACATATATGATGTTGATCTTTCATTAATGCACATATCTACTGTTTTTGTCTAACCCCTACAATTTTCTGAGAATACAACTGTGAACAAGCAAGCAGGTTGTTTCTCTGTATCTCTATTATTTTAAGATCACTGAAGAGGGAGAAACTCTTCCTCTAAAAGTGTAGATGAGTTTTCACTACTCCAAGAGGCTATTTGGTAAGAAAAGTCTGGGAGGCTTTCCTCTGGGAGCATTATTGCTTCATATTCTTGCAGACTTTATTATTAATTGCTACTTAATACAGTGGTTCTTAAACTAGAGCAGGTATTAACAAGTCCTCCAGGGTACTGAGAATTTCTGATTTCATAGCCTTAACAAAATGACACTGCTGCTGGTCTGGAGGCCACACTTTGAGAACTGGATTTAAAACACCAAATTGGGCTGAGGATGTGGCTCAGTGGTAGTGTTTGCCTGGCACAAACAGGCCCTGGGTTCAATCTCTAGCAAAACACAACACACACACATAACCCAAGTCCCATAATTCTATAAATCACTGTTATACAACATATAGAATCTAGTGCCAAATTTTTTCATGATTTTCCTGCTTTCTTCCCTACAGATCTGCCTCCCCTTAAGTAGAGTTTTACTCCTCATCTTCATGCTATAAGGGAGTTAACAAATTGCTCTTGGACTCCAGGAACTCTAACTGAAATTGTGTCCCTCCTCCCCAACTAGTACTTCCCATTATTTACCAACATCCTCTAGTTTCCTTCGTATTAGTTAACCTGTCTTCAGAGAAACCGCTCTGCCCTTCTCATTAGCATCATTGCTCCTGACCCTCACCAAAACAGGGCAAGAGGGCCCCTCGAGAACACTAAGGTGGTTGAGGAGAGACATCTCACTGTAATGAAAGCAGGACACTTTGAGGCAGGCAGTTTTTGAAGACAAGGACAGTGGATGGGTTAGATAGATATGTTAATAAACCTCCAGACAGTATTAAAAACTAGATCAATACTATCGATTTCTTCCTAACACCTACTGGCAAAATAAGATAATAAAGATCATTTTAAAGCATAGAGCACAGTAGCAAATATGATAAACCAAGTAGCATGCTGGGAGAAAAAGAGGAAGTTTGAGGCACATGATCGAGTGGCAGGGAGATTCAAAAAAGGCATACCAAAGACAGATATAGCTGAGAAAAAGTTGTGCCCAGCACTGGTCCTGCACTCATGGCCTGAACTATAGTGGAGCACTTTCCTATTGGTGTGCTGAAACATTACAAACTTGTAGGTTTATATGGGCTACTCCTGAAGATCAACTCCCATTTACATTCTTCAATGGAAAAATATGTTTGGAGGATAGGGCATGGTAGTCCACACCTATAATCCCAGCAGCTCGAAAGGCTGAGGCAGGAAGATCCCAAGTTCAAAGCCAGCTTCAGCAATTTAGCAAGGTAACGAGGTAACTTAGTAAGACCGGTCTCAAAAAAAAAAAAAAAGCAAATAAAAAGGGCAAGGGTTATGGCTCAGTGGTTAAACACCCCAGGGTTTAACTCCCCGTACAAAAAAATATGTTTTGGGTTACAGTCAATGAACACTTCAGACACAGATACATTAGGGAGTGACTCAACCAAGTTTATTTCAAACCAAAGACACTTGAAGTTAACTTTTTTACCCATGTGAGCTCACTGGCCCTCTATGCCTCCCCTTCTGCAACAGGATACCTGCTCTAGAACCCCAATCCTCAAGGGCTGATTTGAGGTTCTTCCCACAAGCAGTGATTGCAGCCACTTGGTTAATCTCTCTCCAGGGAGCACTTCTAAAACCAACCTCTGAGTGAAACTTTGCATCGGGTCCAAAAGAAGAGATGGCCTGAAACAAAAAAACTATTCTTTCTCCTGATAAAGAAGCAAGAATTTAAGCCACTGTAAAATCAGATCCAGAGCTTGATACACCTTCTAATCCAAAACCATGTCCAGGTTCTCTCCCTCCAATCCATGAAAAGAGAGAACAAGATATCCTCTTAGAAATGCTGTTCCTCCAGGTGGGATTGAGCATTTTTAAAATAGAGCTGGGGACACACAGGGTCTGAGCGAGCATGGCTACTGAAAAGGCTTCTTTCCTAAGTGGGATCTCTGATGTTTGTCGAGGCTTGAGCTCCAGCTGAAACTTTTGCCACAGTGGGAACATTTATAAGGTTTCTCTCCTGTGTGAACCCTCTGATGTCTATTAAAGTTTGACCTCTGAATAAAGCTTTTCTCACAGATGGGACATTTATAGGGTTTCTCTCCTGTGTGGATTTTCTCGTGATGGCGCAATCCTGAGAAGTCACTAAAGCCTTTCCCACAGTAATCACATTTACAGGGCTTCTCTCCTGTGTGCGTTCTCTGATGTTTAACAAAGTCTGAGCTCCGCAGAAAGGCTTTTTTGCAGATGGGGCACTGAAAGTATGTCTCTCCGGTATGAGTTCTTTGGTGAAAAACCAACTGTGAATTCCTATAAAAGGTTTTCCCACATTCCCTGCAGGTGGGGAGTTTCTGGGCCATGGGGGCTAGAGGCTGCCCCTTCTGACTGGCCTCTCTTTTCTCCTCCAACCACATGGCAGACAGTTCTGCTGGAGGTGGATTTGGCATAGACTGACCTACTTGCTTCTCAGAACTCCTTCCATGAGGAGAGAGTTGTTCCCCTGCCCCCTCATCCTGAAGGTTTTCTGGTGCCTCAGGAAGATTTTCTCCTTCTCCAAAGTGTCCAGAGTCATCTTCACTGAAGAAGTCCTTCAAGGCAGGCTGAGGAAGTGCCTCACCCAAGGTGTGACATGAAGCAACCAGCGGTTCCTGGTCCCTGTGATTTTCCAAGTTCAAGTTCTCTTTGTCGTTCTCTTGTCTATCTCCTGAAAGAAAATTTGAAATGGTTCAATGTTATGCCCTGTTTTCTAACTCATCTCTCAAAGAAGGGGTCACCAGAAAATATTCTTCTTACCAAGATAGCATTAGTGAGACAAAAAGAAAACTGTCACGCAGCCTGATGCTCCACACTCGCTTCAACTGCACTGGATTCAGGACTATGTGTTTCAGCTCTAGAGCTAAGAACTTCTGAGTAGCAAATGAGGGCTCACAGCAGGCTTTTCTGACCCCTCCACAAATCAGCAGCAAGCATTTCTTAAGGGCCAGGAAAAGTATACTATGCACCAGAAGTACTTTTAAAAATGATCTTTTTTTAATCTGATTACATATAAAAGATAAATATGATCACTAAAAAGAATTTGGAAGGAGAAAAAAGTATATACAGGAAAACCAAATCACCAGATAGAAGTGAACATATGCTTCCTCCCAGACTATTTATTTAACCTATTGTAAATGCTATTTCAGATACAGATGATATTATATTGTATATATAGTTCTATATCTGGTTATGTAGCATTTAAATTGTAAAGAGTAGTACTGGTCAATTTAACATGGATTCCCCCATTTGCAAGTAATTCAAAAATTCATGAAATTCATTAAGATGTTATTTTCCTATGGGTGCAATGCAACAGGACTTCAGTGTAAAAGTAAATTCTTCAGTCTTTGCTTGAATCCAGTATTTACATGTGCTTTATTTTAGAGATGAGTTCTCACTCAACTCAGGCTAGCCTCAAACTCAGTGATTCTCCTTCCTCAGCCTCTCAAGTAGCTGGGCCTATAAATGTGGGCCACTGTACCCATTTACCTATGCCTTATGAACTCACATAAGCAGTCATATTTATTTTCTCATAATGTAGGTTTTCAATTATTTACTGCTTACAAATGCATATGATAAAGATTTTTATTTTGGCTGTAGGATTTTTTCAACTTTCATAAATTATCCCTTAGATCTAAAGAGGCTGTTTAACTTTCTCTTTCATGGATTCATGTCTTTCCAATTATCTGCCAGAGATTTAGGCTTCTGCTACAGAACTAGGACTGAACTTGTTTATCCTCAAAGCTTTAGAACATGTTCCACTCAAATGGCAAAGGTACTGTCACTTTTCTTTTAAGAAGTCTTTATAAATAGCATCTTAAAGAACTGAGTAATGGCCCATTAGGAAGGTGTCATAATAAACACATGAAGTATTTAAGAATCCTCTTACTGTGGAAATCTATGTTGTTTATTATGTCTTTGCTTCTATAAATATGCTGTGATAATCACTTTTCTTCATAAGTTTTTGCCCACAATTCTGCTTACCACTTTAAAGGAATTCTTCAAAGTGGAATTATTGTGTCAACGGGCATGAATATTAAAGCTCTTGACACCTACTGGCAACCTGATTTCCTGAACAACTCTGCCGTATTCTAGTATGTGAAACAGGGCAGAGGGGGAGCTGAATAAAGACTCAAATATTCAATGCTTTTAAAATATATGCCATATATAGAGGAAAGGGGCCAAGTAGAGGGAGAAGGAAAGGGAAAGGGAAATACTGGGGAATGATGTTGGCAAATTATATTGTTATATTTTGTGTGTACACAAATATGTAACAATGAATCCCACTATTTTGTATAATTATAATGCACCTATAAAATATGAAAAATAAATATATGCCATCAGTGAAAAAGGCATTTTCATTGTTTTAAATTTTAAATTCTTGGTTATGAAAGGATATATTTTTTCATATTTATGAGCTATTTTTTAATATCCCAAACCTGCTGTCCATTTCTTACTATGAAGTTATTTTTCTTATTAACCTGCTTTAACTTTTTCTATATTAAGAAAAATAACATAGAATGTCATTTATCTGTAATGTTCCTGAAAAATGTTTTTCTTCAGCATAGTTACCCTGATTCCATTTGGGGTTATTTTTATGTATAGAAGTTGTGGGGGATTTTACTTTTTAAAGATACTCAAGCCAATCAATCTTTTCCTAAATAATTTTTTCATCACTTTTATACTTATAAAAAATTTTCCTATCCAGTCACAATAAAAATATTCACTCATTTTTTTCTTCTTACTTTACTTTCATATTATATCTTTTAAAACTGTATTTCCAACTTATTTTGGTATAATACATTATGGTTTGGATATGAGGTATCCCCCACAGCTCATGTGTGAGACAATGCAAGAATGTTTAGAGGGAAAATGATTGAATTATGAGAGCTTTAACACAATCCATGAATTAATTCTCTAATAAGGATTAACTGAGTGAAAACTGCAGCCTGGTAGGCTGCGGTGCACCTTTGGGCTATATATTTTGTACTTGATGAGCAGAGCACTCTCTCTTTCTCTGTTTCTTGGTGTGTTGTCTTGAGCTGTTTCTCTCCACCACCCTCTTCCACCATGATGTTCAACTTCATCTTGAGCCCCAAGGAATGGAGCCAGCAGTCTATGGACTGAGACCTCTGAAACTGTGAGCCCCCAAATAAATTTTTTCCTCCTCTAATTGTGCTACTCAGGTCTTTTGATCACAGCAGCAAAAAAGCTGACAAAAAAGAGACATAAATAAAAACTAAATTCATTATTTTTCCCAAGCATCTTTTTATTTCCAGTCTTACCATTAAAGAACAGCTTAGAAGTAAAATTATGGTTGGTGTAGAGCAAAGGTACATGTACAGTACATACTTAGCGTGTGCAAAGACCTGGGTTAGATCCCCCAAATTAATAAAAAAAAAAAAAAAAGAAAAGAAAAAGAAAATCTTAGGTCTTAGTTGATGCTTTAGCAAAGAAAAATAGTTAATTAGACTACTGGGGCCAAGAACTGCTTCTCCCATCCTTTCCTTTTCTTCTTCTAGGGTTCTGGGATTTATTACATATGTAAAAGTGTGTGAACAGGGATGGGAGTGTATGTACTGGTTAGAAGTTTTGCACAATTGCCATGTTTTAGAAAAAGTATAGAAAGCAAAGGGTAACTGCCATTTTACAAAAGAATACATTCAAATTTCTTCTTCCCCAGTCTTAAAATACATGACTAATATGAATTATTTAATGACTGTTAGGTATGAAGAGATTAAAGAAAACATGTTTCTCTATTTGTTATTTTATTTTGCTGAGGGTAGGTGGTTACTATTCACTATAACCAGAATGAGAAAATTCTAGTTACTTTGAACCTTCTTGCTAGGATTGACAATAATGGTTGTTATAAAATCTTTTTTTATGGAGTTCTTGCTATATCTCTACAGGTCCTCAATGTGTAACTCTTAACTCTGAGAAACAAAGCTATCACAAGAGACAAGATTGATGACAGCAAATCCAATGTGTGTGTGATCTTCCTTTCAAGATTAAATATATGAATTAACAGCCCTATAGCCAGAGAAAAGGACACTTAACTTTGGATTCAAACCAGACTGGCCCAATCAGGCTAGGTCTAATCAATGGAATAGAAACTAAAGTCCTAATACATCCTCTTCCACCTTCAATTTAAGAACAGGAAATAAGAAAGGGCTCCAGAGCAATGATAAATCACTCACCTACACAAGTGAGTCGTGGGATCTTCTCACTGACATGAAGCTGCAGTCCTGTCAGCTCTTCCCCATATACTGTTGAATTAGTCAGGTCAGGTTTAGTGTTGGAAATGCCTGTGACAGAAAGATAAGCACGTGGGCCTTCATGAATGGGGATGTCTGGGAGCTTGAGCTGTTTCTCAAAGGAACACCCCAGCATGAAGGGAAATGTGAAGGCTCCAAGACCACTTAGGGAAACTTACCTGAGAATAGTGCATGGAAAAGGTTAAGACACCAGTTTTCACTATTAGACCAGGACATATGTAAAGGCCACAAAAACAAGAATCTGGACAGGTAACTAGCAGACCACTGTCAGGCTGGTGCAAGGATCGTGATAGAGATTTCACCAGTGGTTATTCTGAGGCAGTGTGATTTAGTAGGAAAGAGCCTGGACTCAGAGCCAATCACAATTAGTCCCATCTTAATTTGGCACTTAAGAGCTCTGTAACAATGAGCAAGTGCTGAGCTGGCACTCACTTCCATCATCTTTAAAGGGAAATACCCACTTCATAAATTAAAGATGTTACTGTACATAACTCTCAAAAATGTTCCTGAAATACAGAACACTTTCAATACAAGGAAGTTCTGACTATAACTCTGCAACTAGCTCTAGTTCCTAACTGTGTCTCTAAATGACTTCCTTTACCCACAGAACTTAAATTTGAGCAGATATCTCTGAGTGCAAAGAAAATGCCTAACAGTTTTCCATTCTTTCCATCTCCTTTTGTTAAAGCTGACCCATGCCCTCACCTCCTGAGACCATTTTCCCATAGGTCTCCAGCATGAGATCCCAGTATTGCTCCTTTTGACTGGAATCCAGGTGTCTCCAGTGCTCCTGGAAAAAATACAATGCTGTCACTCCAATGAAGGTGTTTAAACCAGCATTTCTTTCCTATAGGAAAGCTGACAAGAATGGAATATGCTGTAGGATCCTACTCATCAGCAGATCTAAGAACTTAAGGGAGAATGGGTCAAGAAACAAACAGGGAAAGGGGAAAATGACAATACTTCACATCAGTATTTTTTGTTTTGGTTAGGGCTTAAGTTCTGGTTTTGTGGGAGACTGCAGGTATTTAAGAGTGGAAAACATACAGGAGAAGCCTTTTCTATACTGTTCCTTTTTTTTAACTCTTTCAAGTGCTTATAGTATGAGTCTGGCAATAGAACCTGATATATTCATTATTTAATGAAAATTCAAGAAGGAAAACAAAGAAATTTAAAAGGAACTTGTTGGGAAAGCAAGTAAAAATCAGTGAAAATGTGAGAAGAGTCAATAGTGAAGCCAACTGTTTTGTAAGCCTTACTATGAAACAAAAATTGGTAGATTCAAGAGACAGATGTTGCAGCCATTCACCCCTGGAATTTCTCAACAGTTCTGTATGCACAGCCTAACATCAAATTAGTTTTATTCCTAGTCAGGGGAAAACCAATATGTTTTCTGGAGCAAGCTATCCCTCTATTATCCACAAAGCAGCCTTCTTTTCCCATGGAACCAGACTAGAAACAAAATTGGGAATGCCACCCAGCTAGGATTTACTTTTATAAATTCTAATTTCAATCTCTCCACTATGAAGTAGACCATTGGAAACTTGGAATGATTAGCAACCATCCTTTGGAATAGAATATATTGGGCTTCAAGTCCCAGCCTTGCTAATTTCTAGTTGTATAACTTCGAGCAAGTTACTTAACCTTTTAGAGTTCTGGTCCTCACCTAATGACAGTACTGAACTCAAAAACTTGTAGGGAGGTTTGAAGAAACAAGACAGTGTCTACTGTTTTCAAAGCACATCATACATTTCATTTATAGCAATCATCAGTTTATTAAATACTTATATGTATATGTATATATATGGATAACACACACACACACACACGTATTTGATTAATCATCACCTCTACTAGCACTAAACTCAAGAAAAGGACTTGGTCCTACTCTCCATATATTGTCAGGCTAAAATAAAGCTCTCAGACCAAGTCCTCAGTAGATGATTTATTATTACCATTCTCTGAAGTCTCCCGGACTCATCCCCAGGCTTTGCAGGAAAACGAAGGAAGGGATTCTGTTTATTTTCAGGGACCCTTAAGTTTATAGCCAGTCTTTATGTTGTAATAAGCCAGAGGCATAAATGAGGAGAGGAATGATGAAGTCATCTTCCTATCACATACAATACATATATCCCTCAGGAATGGCATTCTCATCCTGAAGCAAATCTGTCCTAGTCATCAAAGAAGGTAGTGTTATGGTTTGGATGTGAGGTGTTCCCCAAAAGCTCACATATGAGACAATGCAAGAAGGTTCAGAGGAGAAATGATTGTGTTGTAAGAGTCTTATCCCAATCAGTGAATTAATCTCCTGATAGGGATTAACTGAGTGTACTGAAGTGGTAGGGTGTGGCTAGAGGAGATGGAAATTGGGGTGTGGCCTTGGGGTACATATTTGTATCTGGCTAGTGGAGCTTCTCTCTCTGCTTCCCGCTCACACCTGTGAGCTGCTTCCCTCTGCCACACTCTTCCACCATAATGTTCTTCTTCTTTTTTTTTTTAACCAAACTATCTTTACTGTTTACAGTAGTAAAGGGTAACATAATGTACAAATTGGTGAACAAACAACAGAGCCAACAACATCCCACCAGAGCCCATACAGCAAAACAGGAAATGAGGACATTTCTGCAAGATCTCAAGCAAGCAAGGTGATGGGTCACTATCAGGTGACTATAAAAGGCAGAGAATGGCCATAAGCAGCAATGGATCCTTACAGGGCGATAGGCAGAACTATGAACATTTTAATTAGTATAGATTCCCAAATATCTCAGAGAACTGGAGTCACTGTTCTAACGCATAATTTCGAAACTTATTTGGACAATGGCAAAGTAAAAATCCATAAGAACACTAAAGTCACCTTTCTGTGGGTTTCTTTTGCAACCACACTTTGAAGCAGCTCTTTATAACATAATTGCAAATTCAGTGATATTTCATTTTACTTTATATAAAGACCATAATTATCTGTTAGAAGTAAACCTGAGGCCACGATACAATTACCAAATGAGAAATATGGTAATTATTTCCTAGTTTTGAAATGATAAAAGCTGGTTTTGGTTGTGCCAATCATTGCCCACATAACCACACCCAGGCACTGAGTGCAGAGGTGTCATCCTGGGCCTCAGACCCAGAGGGGACACACTCAGGAGCAGAAAGCACTTGGGCCTTATTACTGAAGGACTTATTTTGTTTTTTACCTTTGAAGAGTATTCCAGTATTTTGCCTTCAACTATACCATATGCTTGATAAAGTCTGTCATTTTCAGCTTTTAGAATTTTAATAATGCGCCTGGTGGAATTCCACCCCCAACACTCTCCCTCAGATGCACAGTGTGAACATGAGCTCTCCACGTGATTCGGACAGGTAGCTCCAGCAGTAACCACTACTCGAGGGGTGAGAGCCTGGCCACAGACTGAAAGCCAACATTTGGCCACAGGTTTGAAGGAAAACATGTTTTGAGAGGGGCAATGAACAAAACCAAGAACAAAAGCAAACCCAAAACCTTAAAACTCATTTCACAAAGAGAACAATGTGATTGGCCCAATGTAAGCTGTAGACTCATCCCTGCAGAGTTTTGAGCTGCACTTGAAGTGCTTCGAGGATAGTTTTGGTGACTGTCCTTGTCTTTCTCGGACTCCTCTGTGATCAGCGTGGTCGCTCACCATTCAATAACAAATGCAAGGATGATGGCAGGGTGCGGGGTGGTCCCTCTGGAGGCCATGCCTCCCGTCTGCTGCTGGAACATGTCGATGGTGTCCTCAACCTCCATCTCCAGTTGGGCTGGAGTGTCTGTTTCATTAATTGGTTGCCCATCAAACCTGAATCTAATCTGTCTCATTGACAAGCCCTGCCTCTCGCATTAGGCCTTTATCAGCTTGCTCAATGGGGTGTGCTTCTTGATCTTGAACTGTACTACTGAGCAATCCTGCCCCACCACCTTCAGGTTGATGTGGTCATTCTCCATCTTCACACCCTCCTTGGGCTTCTCCTTGGACATGGCTGCGTGGCGACAGCAGCAAGATGCAGAGGTGGAAGAGGCAGCGCAAAGCGGGTGAGTCACACTCTGGGCCCCGGCCGCTCTCCACCATAATGTTCTGCCTCACCTCAAACTCCAAAGAATGGATCTGGCCTTCTATGGACTAAGACCTCTGTAACTGTGAGCCCTCAAATAAGCTCTTCCTCCTCTATAATTGTGCTGATCAGGTCTTTTAGTCACAGCAGTGAAATAGCTGACTAAAACAGGTGGAAATGACTCAAGGAGAAAGGAGACACCAAAAAGTCTTGAATTAGAAGATGCTCAGCCAAAATAATTTTAAAAAGGAAAATCTGAATCTTTTAGTGTGGAAAAAGGCAGGAAGCTAGAACTATTAACTAGAACCACATTTTTAAATATTTTTTAATTGTCAATGGACCTTTATTTTATTTTTTTATATGTGGTGCTTAGAATCAAATCCAGTGCTTCATACATGTTAGATAAGCATTCTATCACTGAGCCACAACCCCAGCCCTAGAACCATTTTTTTTTTAAATTTTTAATATTTTTATTTTTTAGTTATCGGCGGACACAACATCTTTGTTTGTATGTGGTGCTGAGGATCGAACCCGGGCCGCACGCATGCCAGGCGAGCGCGCTACCGCTTGAGCCACATCCCCAGCCCCATAGAACCACATTTTTAATATGAATTTCAATTTAAAATGTTTAAAAGTCTGCACTAAGCCAGGGATACTGGTGCATGCCTATTATCCCAGTGACTGGAGAGGCTGAGGCAGGAGGATAATAAGTTCAAGGTCAGCCTCAACAAGACCCTGTCTCAAACTAAAAAGTAAAAAGGATTGAGGATATATAGTTCAGTTGTTCCTCTGGGTTCAATCCCCCATACCAGTTAAAAAAAAAAAAAAAGTATGAGCTGCTGGCAGTTTATTTTGTTAATGCTCTGTAAATAAAGCTATTTTAATAACTTCCTGAAGATAACCAGCCTGAGCAAATCTTGCTGTAAAACAGGAGTCCTTCGTCTTCATGGTCAGAACACTTCAGTGCTAGTAAAGAAAAGGACACAGCCACCAAGCTCAGTAATGTCTGACTGGATGGCCAGCTTGCTCAAGAAAGGACTTGGTCCTACTCTCCACTGCCTGTGACACAGTAGGCACTCAACATATATTGTCAGGCTAAAAAAGAGCTCTCATACCAAGTCCTCAGTAGATGATATATTATTACCATTCTCTGAAGTCTCCCGGACTCATCCCCAGGCTTTGCAGGAAAACGAAGGAAGGGATTCTGTTTATTTTCAGGGACCCTTTAAGTTTATAGCCAGTCTTTATGTTGTAATAAGCCAGAGGCAGAAATGAGGAGAGGAATGATGAAGTCATCTTCCTATCACATACAATACATATATCCCTCAGGAATGGCATTCTCAGTCCTGAAGCAAATCTGTCCTAGTCATCAAAGAAGATAGTGTTATGGTTTGGATGGTAGTGTTATGGTTTGGGCCTATTCCATGGGGACAAAAAGAATCATCAGTACAAGACAAAAAAGGATAGAAGCCTCAAAGCCCACAAGGGTTCATCAGTTTATTCAAAAGCCAGAAAAGTTACTTTCAGGAGTCTCTGAACAGTGTACCTCCAGCTTAAAGTGACACACTTACTCAAGGAGCTGCCAATATGCTCAAGAGTACGAATGAAGCCCCCACTTGAGACACAGAATGCAAATATTAGCCATCTTGCTCTTTTCTCTTATTTAGAGAGAAGAAAAAAAGTCCAACTTCCAAACAGCTCTGTTTTTGTGTGGAAATAGCACCATCTTGTGGATTGACAAGACATTATGACACCTGACTTCACAAGGAGTGCTCCTATCCTACATGTTTGAAAAAAAATATCTGGGAGGTAAATGCATCCATCCCTCCAGTATAGATGAGGGTCCAACTTAGTCATGGTTTCTGATGATAAAGTACTACTGTGTAGTGATAGTGACCCCACTTCTTTATTCTAGTATTATTCACAAAGCTCCTAATGCATGCATTAATTCAGAAGTAATTATTTATATTTAAAATTTCCTTCAAACTTCCAATGAATTCATTAAATATCAAGGTTTTTCCTGAGGCAGATAATTGTTTTTAGTTTAGGGGAGGGATGTTGGGATTGGATGGGGATGATGTTTGTTTGAGTGGTTCATAATCAGTTACTAGCTCCAGGTAGAAACATGTATATGTATATGTAATAGTCAATAATGGATTGGTGCTGCCAAGTATTCTGATCTTTTAAAGTTCTCCAGAATAGGAAATGGCTAATGTCTGTGTACTCCACTAGTTAAAACATGTTAATAAGTTATATATGACTGTCATAGGGATACTGTATGTAAGAGGCAATAATCCTCTATGCCTGATTGAAATATTTCACAGAATACCTCATGCATTCATCCATTCATTCATTCATTCACTCAGCTAGAGATTAAACCTTTGTTCTCATGTGCTCTAGCACTAAAGTATATGTCCAGCATCCCAAATCTTTTTCACCAAGTAACCTCCTGCTTAACATCTTGACTTGATTTCTGGAACCCTGATTCACTAAAAAAGGCATATTCCTCTCCTGCCACCTCTTTGTTCTCCTTCGCCAAAGATAAACTGCAACACTGGTATTCTACTTTCTAAGTCTCTCAACCCAGAAAGCTGAAACTCAGACCCTGGTCTAGATATGGCATTAAGGACCACCTATTATTTATAGCCTTCTCTATTTTTGCCTTTACTCTGAAGTACTTCCCAAAACAAGTCCCAAGAAGAGCACTTTCAAAATTTTAAACAATATTTCAATTGAGATGTATTGATTCCTGAAGAATTTTTTAAATCAAATACAACTTTTCAAAGTTAGTAATTAACATAATCAGCACCACATAAAAATAAACAATTACACCTATCCCAGAGACTTTGTTTTAAACCCAGAATAGAGTATCAGGAACTAGGTTCTCTTTCTGCATTGAACAACTAAAAAGAGAGACAAAATATATGAAGTGATGGCTTCCAGATGTTGCACATTAAGCAGAAAAGAGGTCCCTGAAAGCAAGCAAACAAACTGGGTCCTATAGTTGTCCAAACATAATTCCTGGAGAACCCAGGCAGCAGCACAGAAAGGAGGAACCCGAGTGGAGCCAGGAGGCCCCCAGAATTAAGCAGAAGGAGCTCAGAGTCTGAAGAGGTCTCTGTGGTTAGAGTTAGCAGGGCTGAAGATCAGAGACGAAGAAGCTGTACAAAGAGAGGTTGAGAGATCTACAGAGGGGTCCTCCTCAAGTCGGAGAAAAGGATCACACGAAAGAATCAGAGGGAACATCCAAACTCACACAGCTACTTCTACCAGCTAGAGTGGAAAACCCAGTAGAGTAAGAGGTAGAAGGCAGAATACTCAGAAGGCTACTGCCACAGAAGGGGGTAAAATTAACCCTATATTAAAGGCTTTTCTATAAAGTAATCCCACTTAGCCAGACATGGTGATGCACATCTGTCATCCTAGCAACTTAGGAAGGCTGAGTCAGGAGGATTGCAAGTTCAAGGCAGGCCTCAGCAACTTAGCAAGACCCTATCTTAAAATAAAATTTAACAGGACTGGGGTATAGCTCAGAGGTAGACCACTCCTGGTTCAATCCCTACTATGGCAAAACCAAAAAACAAAAGCTAGTAATCTCCGTTAATCCAAGTTTCACTTTCCATGGTTTATTACTCATAGTCAACTGTGGTCTGAAAATATTAAATGGAAAATTTCAGAAATAAAAAATTCATAAGTTTAAATTGCATATCATTCTAAGTAGCAAGATAAAAACTCTCACAAAACATGAATCATCCCTTTGTCCAGCATATCCACATTGTACACACTACCCACCTTTAAAGTCATTTAGTAACCATGTTGGTTATCAGATCCACTGTTATGGTATCCCAGTGCTTGTTTTCAATAACCCTTATTTTACATAATAAAGGCCCAAAATATAAGAGTAGTGGATATGTCAAAGAGAAGTCATAAAGTGCTTCCTTTAAGTGAAAAATACGAAAGTTTTCAACATGATAATTTTTAAAACTCATACGCTGAGGTTGCACAAGTTATGGCCACAGTGAGCAGTAAATATGTAGTCATTCACCTCATTTCATCTCATCACACAGGTCTTTCTTGTGTCATCTCACATCACACCACGAGGGTAAGAACAAAACAATAAGATATCTGAGAGACCACATCCAGATATATTTTATTACAATATATTGTTATAATTGTTCTACTTTATTATTAGTTATTAACTTCTAATCTTTCCTGATTTGTAAATTTATCATAGGCATGTTAAGGATATGAAAAAAAAAATTATATATGGTTCCAGGAATCCACTAGAGGTACTGAAACACATCTCCTCCAAATCAGAGGAAACCACTGTATAACAAATTTTGTCCAACCAATTTACTGCATCCCAGAGCAAAGCTCAAGAACACTTATGGAAATACAAAAATATCCACTATCCAGGCTGGGAATGCAGCTTCACAAGCACAAAATCCTACATTCAATCCTCAGCACAAAAAAACATAAATAAAGTTAAAATTAAAATTAAATAAAACCAGTGAGAGCTGGGGCTGTAGCTCAGAGGTAGAGTGCTTGCCTTGCACATGTGAGGCACTGGGTTCAATCCTTAGCACCACATAAAAATAAACAAATACAATAAGGATTTTTTTTAAGTGAGAATATATTAAGGTAAACAAAAAACATATACTATATGCAGAACAACGAAAATAAAAATAAGACTTATTGGCATGATTCCATTGTAAATAAAATCTGAGAAAGCACAAACTAATGTGCGGTAACAGAAAGTAGATCCTTAGTTATCTCAGGATGATGTGGGAAGGCAAAAAGGGACAGGAGAGAGGAAACTTTAGAGTGTGGTGTGTATATTTACTATACTGATTGTGGTCATGGTATTAGGACCAAATATGATGTCAAAACTTTCCAAATTGTACATTTTAGATATGTGTAGTCAGTTTGCTTATATTATTTTTACATAAAGTCGGTGAGTCACCTGTTGTACATTAGAAATAACCATTCAAATTAAAATGACTCCCATGAAAACTATACTAGGAAATAAAACAGATTTTTCTTTTCTTTTCTGTTTTGTTTTTGTTTTGTCCTATGTTACCCATTCTCAATTCTTCTAACTCAGGTTCCTGAATAGCCAGGATTATAGGCATGTGCCACCACACCCAACCAAGACAGTCTTGTCTTAACATAACCTAAAAGTAATAAAGAGATGACCATACTTGGGTAGAGACAGGATTTGCCAGATTCCTTTACTCCAGATGACAATTAGGAAACATTCTGTCTTAAGTAAAAACACAGAGTTCATTCTACATTTACTATAACTGTTACCCAACCAGGCCTTCCTGTTTACTCCCCTTCAGTAACTGTAACCCTGGCAATCCTCCTGCCCAATGACAAACCCTTGAAGCCTGGTTCCAGGGAAGAGAAGCAGGGACCCAGCTCACCTGAGGGGCAGCAGGGAGAAGTGCAGCTCCAAAGTCCTGGTCTCTAATGAGCCTTTCCTCAGGTTGGGCAGGAAGCTGGGAAGCAGCCAGAGCTGCAGTGAGAAAAGGAAGTTTTCAGAATCTAGATGTTTTCCTTAACCACTCCCCAGAGAGTACAGAAAATAATCCCCACAAATTAGAACAATCCATTCTGCTATTCGAATTTCAGGATTTGTGTTTACCTCCTAACAAATTCCCCCACCAAACTTCCAGTTTTCTTTCTTTCTTCCACTTTCTGTCCTCAGAACCAAAATCCAAATGGTCTGGCCTCAACACAAAGTGGTTTAAAATACAAAATTGAATCTCTATGTCAAACTGGTACATGTAAATCTACCTTTTCCAAACTTTCAGGGACAGTATATCATTTCAACTAACACTAGGCCTACTGACCACAATCCCTAAATTTCTCCAAGACAGCACCACACACCACCATGGATAACTGCTCCTCACCTAATTCTGGTTCCACTTCAGATTCCTCTTTCACCATGTGACTGAGCAGCTCCCGAGGTCCTGTGGATGTACTCTGAAGTCCCAACTCTGGAGGTGCCACTTCAAGCTGGGGCTCCACTTCACCCACCTGGCATATGGAGGATTCCTTCTTCTCAGATAAGATTTCCTGTCCTAGAACTTGAATGCTGATCTAGAGAACAGACAACACTAATTACTAAAGGATGCAGAGTTAGGATTTCTAAAGGATATGGAGCAAGCCTCCTGTAACAGACTGGAAGATAGTCTTCCTAGAAGATATGGAATAAGTAGAGAAAGAGAAAACCAGCTTCTACTTTTAGTCTAGCAGGAACCAATGAATGGACTATCAGAAGACACACTAAAAGCTAAGGCCTGAATCAGCCTAGGAGACCTCTAAAACATGCCACTATATTGTTTCTACTAGACATTCTCCACCAATTAAAATTCAGGTGTTTTTTAATAACTCAAATGTTCTAAACATAGAATGGGCAGGGAGACTTTATCTTCAATCCCCAATGGCTTGAGCGTTGAAAGTCACAGAGTCAGAATTAGGTGAGGTATGAAGAAATGCAGATGTGGTGTAAAAAACATAATTAAGACAGGTCTAGTGGCCCACATCTGTAATCTCAGCTAATTGGGAGGCTGAGGCAGGAGGATCACAAGTTCAAGTCTGAGGCAGGCTGGGCAAATTAGTGAGACCCTGTCTTAAAACATACAAACAAACGAACAAACAAAGGGCTGGGGATGCAGCTCACTGGTAGAGCATCCCTGGGTTTGATCACCAGTACCATAAAAAGAAAAAAAAAAAAAATGGTCTTTGTCCTTGATTCCTGGCATACAGCTCCTAGAACCCTTGTAACTTCCTAAAAGAAATGTCTTTTGTTATTCATAATGGCCTTGTCAGCCATACCAGAAGTTATGCCAATGAGTTAACTATTAGTGATAGCTTCAGGATGAAGGTAGATTGACAGAGAAACTAACCATGTGAAGTATAAAGAATTGAAACTTCAATGCCCGGATATCCTAACTTCTGGAGAAGAAATTGAAGATCTTCAATCACCAATGGAAAATGATTTAATCAATTGTGTAGAAACAGTGAGACCCTCATAAAAACTTTTTCTTTTATTTTTGTTTAATTTTTTTTTTTTAGATATTGTTGGAGCTTTGTTTTATTTATTTATTTCTATGTGATGCTGAGGATCGAACCCAGTGCCACACACATGCTAGGCAAGCACTTTACCACTGAGCCACAGCCCAGCCCTGATAAAAATTTCTTAATGTTGGAGCTCAGGGAGCTTCCACGTTGTTGAATTGACTGAGGAATTATTAAGGTGGCACACCAGGAGAGGGGAGGGAAGGGAAACACCCCATGCACCTCTCCCATTTGGCTGCTAGAGAGTTGTATCCTTTATAGTAAACTGGAAACAGTAAGTATAGTGCTTTCCTGAATTCTGTATGCCATTCTAATTATCAGATCTGAAGAGGAAACTGTGAGAACTGCCCGATCATAGCCAGATTTTCAGAAGGACAGCTCATGCCTGGAACTTGAGACTGGCATCTGAAGTCGGGGAACAGTCTTGTGGGAGTGGGCCTTTCATGGGTGGTATGTGTGCTAACTCCAGATGATGTCAGAATTGAACTGAAATGCTGAATGCTCAGTTTGTGTCAGAGAATCAGAGAATTGGTTTTTGGTGTGGAAAATCCCACACATTTGGTGTCATAAATGGTATCAGAAATAAGACAATATACGGGATGAGCACCAGAAAAGCTCTGTGCTTCACTCACAGATAATAATACTTCTGCTTACCCACTGCCACAGTCTCCGCGGATCTCCTTTTAAGCTCTCCACAAGCGTCACTGCTTCTTCTCCACTGCCTGGACACTGTTTCCGCACCCACATCTGGATCTCTCCAGGGAGAATGGTCAGAAACTGCTCCAACATGAGAATCTCTAGGATCTGCTCCTTGGTATGAACCTCTGGCCGCAGCCACTGGAAACAGAGCTTTCGAAGTTGTCTCAGAGTCTCGTGGGGCCCAGACAGCACCTGGTAACGAAACTGTCTGAAGAGCTGGCGTGCAGTCTCAGGGCTGGAGAGCTCCCCTTGAGGGGCAGCATCTGGTCCAGAGAATGAAAAGTCTTCACTCCTCGACAATGAGGGCAGCAGGCCTAGGGCCTGCCTCAGGTCAATGGGCATTGTCTGGCTTCACAAGTTCTTTTAGGAGAAGTGTTTCTGAGGTGGGATTGTCTCTGGGAAGAACCAAATCCTCTCAGGAATGCTAAAGAGAGGATGATACTGAGTGCTATACAGAGGAGAAAAACACATTTTCACAAAGAATAATGCATATGTCCTACCTGAATAGCCCTATGGTCAATCATGGATCTTTTGAAATGGCTCAACATATTCTATTTTGAAAGATGCAAACTTGAAACCTCAGAGCAAACTTGATACCATTATCTAAAGAGCCAGCATTGCCCTGATGTTGCATAATGTTCTCCCTTGGTCTTCAAATGTCTAGACCATGTAAAGAAGGAAACGCATTACATAAGCATTTTCACTATTGGTTTCCAGGTAAACAGCTCTTCTGCAAAACATTTCTGTATCTGCAGGTTATAAAATGAAGCTGGACAAAGACATTCATGCCCTAGGAATATAGGCTGAAAGGATGAGCTGCTTCCATAACAGATGAACAGGCACCCTCTGCTTCATGCTCCCACTATGATACATATACCATGCCACCACATGCCAAAGCAACAAGGCCAAGTGACCATAGGTTGAAAACTCTGAAACTGTGAGCCAAAATAAACCTTTCCTCTATCTAAATTGTTTATCTCAGGTATTCAGACACAGTGATGAAGAGATGACTAACATAGAAATTCAGAAGATAGCTACTGAGGAGTAGTAAGTGACAAGGTTAATATTAATATATTTAAGCAGAGTCCAGTGGCACACACCTGTAATGCCAGCAACTTGGGAGGATGAGGCAGAAGAATTGCAAGTTCAAGGCCAGACTCAGAAACTTTGTGAAGCCCTAAGCAACACAGTGAGACCCTGTCTCTAAATAAAAAACAAAAAGGCTTGGGGACGTAGCTCAGTGACAAAGCACTCCTGGGTTCAATCCTCAGTAGAAAACAAAAACAAAAAAATATACACATAGTGTATATATATATTTATTATATATATATGTATATATTAAAAGGATCAGTAACTTCATATTTCATATTTCTGGTTAACTTTCATGCAGGTATTCCTAACAATTGATTAGTAGTCAGTCTGTAAATGTTATGATGGAGCAAAAAATCATCAGTCCTCCATAATACTAATGGCAATAATCAAAACACACACACACAAAAAAAAGTCACCTGGATTTCTGGTTGAATCAGAGATCAGTACACAATTCTAGCTTTTTTAATAGCTGCATTTTTCTTGAGGTGTAATAAGCAACATTCTTCAAAAATAATTCTTCCTTATCAGAATATCATTTAAAAATCAAAAAAGAGGAGGATGGCCCCATAAGCTCTTGGGATAAGGGTTGGATTGCAATCAGTATGATGAAACTGCAAGGTTTAACAAGGAGCAGTTGTGACAGTGTTAAAAGCAAAAGACAGAAGCCAATTAATAATGAGAAACACCAGAGTTTTCAACAATCCAGAATGAAAAGACTCCCTTAACAACTAAGAGGAAAGGTTTATTGGGCTCACGGTATCAAAGGTTTCAGTGCAAGGTCAACTGGCTCCACTACTTTGAGCTTGAGGTGAGGTAAAGCATCATGGCAGAAAGGCATACTCAACTCATGGCAGCAGGGAAGCAACATCAAAAACTGCACTAAATATAAACAGACTAAAAACTCAAATTACAAGACAGAGTTTATCTAATTGTAAAAAGCAAGACCAAATTATATGCCATCTGCAAGAGACAATTTAAATATAAAAATATGGATAGGTTGAAAATAAAAGGATGAGAAAAAGTCTATGCAAAGAGCAAACATAGGAAAGTTGATATGGCTAGTATGCGACCAAGACAAAGAGAAAAATAAAGAGTCATTTCCTTATGAAAAATAATTCATGAAAAATAAATAATTACTGTGGCTGTACTAGTACAGGTAGATGTCATATGAAGAGAAATAAAAAGACTATTTCAGGGCTGGGGGTGTAGTTTAACAGTACAGTGCCTGCCTAGCATGCATGAAGCCCCAAGTTCAATCCCTAGTTCTAGAGGACAGGGGGTGATATTCCACTAGAACAAATAATTCAAATCATCTAGAACACATAACCCTAAATGTGTATGTATCTAGTAACAATTCTAAAGGACAAATCTTCAGTGTGAGTTGGAGATTTTTATACCCTTCCTCAGTAACTGATAAATATGCAAAACCAAAAATCAATAAGATACAGAAAATGTGAATAACATTATAGCCAACTAATTAACATTTACAAGACACTAGACCCAACAACTGCAGAATACACACTGATTTTTGCATAATAAACACTATCAAAACAGATCATATGTATGATTAAATTTCGAAAGACTGGAAACTTAAAAGTACATATTCTCTAGCCACAGTGCAATTAAATTAGAAATGAATAACAATATTTAGAAATATCCCAATTTATGGGAATTATTAAAATAACCCATAGTCAAAAAATATATAGAAAAGAAAATTAAAATACATTTTCATAACAAATGATAATAAAAACAGTATCTCAAACTTTGTGGAAAGCAGCTGAAGTATTTCTTACAGGGAAACCTACATTCAAAGAACTATCTTTAAAAAAAAAAATGAATGAGGAACTAGGAGCATAGCTCAGGGCTACAGTACTTGCCTAGCACGCTCAAGACCCTAGGTTCAAGCCTCAGCACCACTTTAAGAAAAAAGGAAAAGCGTAATATATGTATTACATAAAATAAAATTTTAAAATGCTTATGTACAAAAATCCTTCACTATCTACATGAATTTGGCTTCTGAGTTTTAAATAACAAGTGCCAAGATTTCAAATAGCAAGATACTGACGTGTAAACTTATTCAAATTTAGTTGTTTCCTGAATTATGACAACAATTTTGATAACATTTAGGAGAAATGCCATTAAGGGGAAAACTATACATCTTAAATAATATTTAAATCTGGTCTTAATACACACTATTATAGTAGTAAGAAAAACGTCTTTTTAAGTTTCAAAATTATTTCACTTAATAGAGGGCTTATGAGTTTATAGCCCATCGACTTCCGGAGGATCTGCTCCCATTAGTTACCAAAAAAACAAACAATAACACCTAAATTACCTACCACAAATGCATACTTGTTATTAAGGCTTTAACAAATCAGAATTTTTAAATGTGCACCTATATATAAGCTTTATTATAAGTTACATGGTTACACATATAAGTAACCATTTGTTGAGCAGCTATTATTATCCGCTATTACACTCTGCTCACGTTATTTCTGATCTTTACAATCACCCTGCAAGGTTACCTATTAAAGTTCACAGATATGGAAACTTGGAGGCTCACAAGTGAACCAAATTCTAACCTAGAAAGTGCTAAAGCCTGCGATTAGGGGAGGAGCACTGCCAACGTTTTTTTAATTTGGGAGGCTGGCGGGGGGCACTTTTAGGGTTGTCATAAATGGATGGGGGCAGCTACTGGCATTTAGTGCCTGGACTGGACTGTGCTAACCACTGGAAGGGTCTCCACCCTGAGTCCTCTCACCCCCACCGATAGCACCCTGATGAGAAAGACCCTAGGCTACATCAGGTCGGTAGCCCTCCTCCTGAGGCTCATTTTTCAGTCGTCCGTGGAAGGCAGCAGGGACGTTTTCCGTCCGGGCGCACAGACCCGGCAACACCCCCAGGAGCCGGGCCAGGTCGGGTTGCAGGCGTGTCCCCCGCACCCGGAGTCTAAGAACAGCCCGGGCAGCCCCTCCCCCGCCCTCGCCGCGATCGCGCTCCCTGGCGCACAAACGCGCGCGTCCGCTGACTCCGCCGCCGCTCCGGGGGGCCCGCCTGAGTCTCTCGCTGACGCCGGGGAAGCCAGGCCCGACACGGAGCGACCAACAGCCGGGCCAGCCCAGCCCAGCCCAGCCCACGAGCTCACCTCGGCCCGCGGCGCCGACTCGGGCGCACTTCCGGGAGCTGGGCAGCTGCGCGCGCCACCGATGGAGAGCGAAGCGCCGCGCCGGAGTGGGGCGGGGCGGGGTTAGAGGGGCGGGGCCTCGGAGCCGGAATTGAGGTTGAGGCTCCGATTGGCGGCCACTGAGCCACGCCCCATGGCCTCGCGCCGCAGCCCAGGATCTAGGCTGCTGTGGGTCCGCAGCAGAGCCTAGGCTGCCAGTCTTTCCTTCCTCCATTCATTCAAGCTTGGTGCATTCCTCCACTGCTCTCCAGACAGAAGTCGCTCGCCTACTCTGTTCAAGGCAGTAGGCCAAATACTGCGAAGTCTCCAAAGATAATTCTCTTGCCTAGCGCAGACCCCTTTGCTCAGTCTCTCATCCAAAGATGACATTTGCCATTATTCATGGTTTTTACCCCAGTGTCTCTCGCTCCTCTCTGCTATTCTTGCCTCAGTTGGCCTTCCTGGAGCATTTAAGTTGCCCTAATCTGTTTTGCTTCTCCTCCAACTGTCGTAAACTATGTGTTTCTTGGATCTCTCCTTCCACTTTTCATTCAGTGTTGCGCTGAAGTGAGGTGCCAAGGTCCCTTGTCACTTGTGTCTCTCTCCTCTTTCTCCTCTAACCGCCCCTTCTCATTTTACTGCATTTACGAATCTACGAATGTCATTCTTGACTCCTCCCTCCCCTTCTTCCACTTGACAACAATCACCAAGTCCTCAGGTCTGGGCAGACACCTTGCCCTCTTTCCATTCTCACTACCTCTACCTGGTCTCGATTCCACATCATTTGTGACCCTAAGACTTCTCACCAGTTTCCACCCTTGTTGATTTCCAGGCCTTCCCTAGCTGGCCCACAATAATCGTACTCAAAAACATCAGTATAATGAAATGTTCTCTGCCTGTCCCATGTTCAGAGGAATTGAAGATATTGTCTCCAGGGAGGTGGCATGATTTCTTCATATACTTCTAAAACAGACCAGTAGAAAAGGATTTGACATACTCTGTAGGTCCCTGGGGCCAAACAAGGCCAAATGTATGAAACCTGAATGGAATTTTCCAATATTGACTTGTATGTCAGTGCTACTTTGTGAGCTCCTGAGGACAGCATAACTAACAAGTTACAGGACATTTATATGGATACTAGCCTTGGGTGTTACTTCAACACCAAGGTGCTTTCCTTCTAGGTAAGCAAAGAGATAAGATGGTTTAGAGGCAAAGATGATGTTTTATCTTCAACAGTAGTAGGTTTTAGCTGATCGGTATCCAAAGACACTAGCAGTACTTCAAAAGCTTTATATGGACCATGTACCCTTTTGTGAACCTAATGGAAGCTTTAAGACTTTTCCCAAGCATGGTGGTGTATGCCTGTAATCCCAGCAGCTTGGGAGGGTGAGGCAGGAGGATCCTGAGTTCATGGTCAGCTTCAGCAATTTAGCAAATCCCTGAGCAACTCAGCAAGACCCTGTTTCTAAATAAAATATTAAAAAGGGCTGGATTTGTGGCTCAGTGATTAAGTGCCACTGATTCAATCCTGGTACCAAAAAAAAAAAAATTAACAAGGAAGGAAGGAAGGAAGCTGCATATAAACATTTTATTCTCAAATTCAAGGATCTAACAGATCTCTGAAGGCCATTCTTGGAACCCATGAACCTTAGGCTGAGACTTCTAATACTAGCAGACAGTTCCTGCTAATATGGATATGACACTTGACATTTAATAATTTATTTATATACCAGCAATTTGGGAAGAGGCTTAAAATTTACCTTCATTCTGAACAAAGATATTTATTAAATAGGGAAACAGGCATAAGGAATACTGAAAAGGTATCATCTACTTTTATTTATTTACTCATTCAATAAATATCAGATGCCTCTTCTGTGCTCAGCACTGTTACATCAACTGTGTATAAAATTACACAGACAAAGTTCTGGCCCTCACAGGACTTTATATTTTGTAAAGCAAGCTAAACAATTAATAGATGCACAAGTAATAATAAACATTTTGGGTAATGATGCATTGTGGGGAAAATACATCAAAGTAAGGAGGATAAGTAGTGAAACTGGACTTTTGACATGAAATTGGATTCTTTGTTTCAGCTATTCTTTTTTCTGGGTTCTTGTCTTGTAAATTTGAAGAATAAAACCCATGGACAATAACAAAAGAGAAGAGTAGGAAAAGTAGGGTTTATTTAACTGAGAAGAGAAGAGACAGAACTGCAATGTGGGAGGGGAATTGATAGCAGGAAAATGATTCAGTAAGAAATTGTATTGCAGAGGAAAGGAGGGACAACTACTGAATAGTTAATTGTCCTTGAATAGAAGAGATGTCAATTGTTTCATAACAAAGTTCTCAGGCACTCATACAACTTAGATCATATAGAAAACCCATAGGAAGCCAGGCATGGTGGTGCAGGCCTGTAATCCCAGCAGCTCAGAAGGCTGAGGCAGCAGGATCACAGGTTCAAAATCAGTCTCAGAAACTTAGTGAGGTCCTAAGAAATTTAGCAAGACCCAGTCTCAAAAACAAACAAATAAAAGCATGGCTGAGTTTGGGGCTCAGTAGTTAAGCACCCCTGGTTTCAATTCCTAGGACCAAAAAATAAGGAAACAAGCTTCATGGAAGTGGAGCTTAAAGTCAAAAATTACAAGCCATGCAAAAAATAATCCATCATCTAGAGATAAGGGGGAATGGGGAAACGTTGATCAGAGGGTACAAAGTTTCAGTTAGGAGGAATAAGTTTTATAGATTTATTGCATAGCATGGTGACTATAATTAATAATGTGTATCTCAAAATTGCTAAGAATAGATTTTCATCATTCTCATCTCAAAAAAATGTATGAGATGATAGATATGTTATTAGCTTGCTTTAATCCTTCACACTTTATACATAATAGCAAGATATCCCATTGTACCCCATAAATATATACAATTATAATTCATTAATTAAAAATAATAAATTTTTTAAATCCATCATAAATGGCAGTTACAAAAAATTGAAAGAAGAACCTGTGCCCCAAGAATTAGAAATAATAGAGCAATCTGTATGCATGAATCCCTGGTTTCAGTTCCCAGCACCAATAAGTAAATAAATAAATTGAGCAATCTAAAGGAGATTTTTAAAATAAAAGTTCTGAGTTGTTCAAAGACATGAACTAGAAACCACAAAACAAAATTATGAGGAAAAAGGGTAAAAAAGGAAAAAAAAACTTCAGGACCAAGAAAGTGTGTGTGTGTGTGTGTGTGTGTGTGTGTGTAACTAAAAGATATTTACTTTTTAAATTTGAAAACAAAATGTATAACTGAGATTCAGAGATCCTGCCTAATAAAAAGCCTCACCCAGCTGCTGACCATAATTTAAACTCTGCTTTTTCTGACTTCAAATACTAGTGTTTCAGTAAATATTTTTGTCATTGAGATCAAAAGACCTGACAAGAACAACATGGAGGAAAAGTGTCTCTGGGCTCCTGGTTTCAGAGGTTCAATCCATGGCCAGTTAATTCCACTGCTCTGGGCCTCTGTTGTTCTGAGGTGAGGCAGAACATCATGGCAGAGGAACGGCAGAGGAAGGCAGCTCGGGACATAGAAATCAGGAAGCCCTGAGAGCTCTGCTTATAGGGGACAAAATAGAAAACTCAAAGACAGCCCCCCCACCATGTCCAGCCACACCCTACCTGTCTACAGTTACCAGCCAGTTAATCCCTATCAATGGATTAATGCACTCATGAAGTTAAGGCACTATACCCAATCATTTCATCTCTAAACATTCTTGTGTTGTCTCGAGTTTTGGGGGAATACTTCTTATCTAAATCATAACACCCAGGATCTCCCCTCTCTACTGCATTTGGCCCCAAATAAAGCAGAACAGACAGAACAAACTGTTTAAAATGATTGTGTAAGAGATTTTACACAATCTACTATGAGATTTTTAAATTCATACAAAGATGAAGTTAAATTGTATGAAATTATTATGAGCCAGGTCAGTTATTTCACCAATTCTCAGAAACCTAGGAGCAGAAATGTGAAAAGACACATTTGAACTGAGAAAGAGGTTTAGATTGACTCAAGATTAAAGGTACATGGATATCATTAGAGGCAATCAGTGCAGGCTTTATGGAAAGGGCTGACCAAGGGACTGATCAGGGAAAGGAGACCCAGAACAGAAACCTGTCCCAAGTGCTCTGCCTCTGCCATTAAGATGTAGTTTGTATCCTGTTGACTTCTTTGGAGCACACAGTGAATTGGCAGAAGTGAATTGTCTTCTATGGGCCATTTGGAAAACAGAGAATTAAACAAATGCTAACTGTGTGCTTTTGTTTTTGTTTTCTTCCATTTTTTTTGGAGAGGGGGTACCGATACCATCAGTCCTGCTTCCCCACATGTTGAAGTTTGAACATTGGAGAAGCATGCCAGGCAAGCATATAAAGCAGGGTTTATTTTAAAAAGGGTAGACTTCTCCAGGGAAGGAGAAGGGGGCCATAGCTGGTATCCTGGTATCCCAAGAGGGGAGGAGTTCTGCCCTTTTATATGTCCTAGGCTTCCTTTGTTCTCCTGCCTTTTCCCCCTTATCTTTCTTCTTCCTGTGTACATGACTATTCCCAGGAATGCTCAGTGGGATGGCCAAAAGGTGGGAAACAGGTGGGCTGAAGGGGAAAGGGCAGGTTGCAGTAGCCAAGGACACTGTAACAACATTATAGCTCCCTGTAGGGAGGAGAAATTCCTGGGACAGTTTACCTTGGCAACAGGTTGGAGCAGGGGCAGGTTCTTGATAAGATTCCTCAGGGCACAGTCTCCAATTTCCCAGACTCACTCAAAACTGGCCTCCTTGATCTGACCTGACTTGATTTACCTATCTACACTGACTGCTTGTCTAATTCTGGCTTCAGTACTAGGGATTGAACTCAGGTTTGCTTTACCATTGAGGTACATCTATACCACCACACCCCACCCACCCACCTTCCCTGCTGCCTTTAAAATTTTATCTAGAAATAGGATCTCACTAAGTTGCTGAGGGCTTGGCTAAGTTATTGAAGCCTGCCTGGAACTTGTGGTCCTCCAGCCTCAGCT